TCTGCTCAGACGGCTAGAGCTAGGTCCTGCAACGATGATTACTTCCGCCAACTTCGGAAGATGACGGCAAAATCGGCCAGGGATGACCGGAAGCAATATTGGGCTAAAATAGCGACCTCCATGGAACAGGCCTCGAACGTTCGTGACACTCGAAAGCTCTACCGTCTGATCCGCCAAGTTAACGGTAAGCCCTCTACACTGAGTGGCTCTATTCGCGATGTGAACGGCGGCATTATTGCTGACAACTCGGCCAAAGTCGAGCGCTGGCGTGAGCACTTTGAGCACCATCTCAGTTTCGATGCTCAACGTACCTCGCCCTTGCTCTCCTTTTCAGCGGAGTTTCTTCCCTCTCCTACCTATGCAGTGCCATGCGATCCCCCCTCCGAGGGAGAAGTCGCCGATGCCATACGAAAGTTGCGCAACAATAAGGCACCCGGAGAGGACGGTATACCCGCTGAAGTCTTCAAGTCTTGTGTCGACACTCTGGCGCCCTGGCTCCATGAGGTGATTGAACGAGCGTGGAGAGACGAGGTTGTTCCTGATGACTGGGGCTTAGGCATCCTCGTACCTATCCTCAAGAAGGGAGATAAGTCGAGATGCGAGAACTACCGCGACATAAGTCTCATCGACGTTGCTGCGAAGATCTTCGCTATTGTCCTTCTCAGACGATTCCAGGCTGTGCGTGACTCAAGGACGAGGCCCAACCAAGCCGGATTTCGTGCTGCACGTGGATGCGCAGACCAGATATTCACACTGAGGCGCATTCTCGAATTTCGTCATAGCTACCAACAACCGACGGCCGTCTGCTACATTGAATTTACCGCCGCGTTCGATTCCGTTCACCGTGAGTCCCTGTGGCGGATAATGGCGCTAGATGGTGTACCGGCCAAAATCATCGCCATGATCAAGGCCTACTATCGTTCCACTACTGCGACAGTCCTGGTCCGTAACAATCTTTCCCAACCGTTCGGTATTCGGTCTGGCGTCCGACAGGGTTGTATACTGTCACCCATACTGTTCAACTACGCTATTGACTGGATCCTCGGGAGGGCCCTTCGCGACAGTGACGGTGTTGAATTTGCACCCGGACATCGACTGACTGATCTCGACTATGCCGATGATATCGCCTTACTTGCTTCAAGTTTTGGTGATCTGCAGTCTATGGTGTCACGAGTGAACGAGGTCGCTAAATCAGTCGGTATGTCCATAAACGCTGGGAAAACCAAAGTATTCTCAAGCTGCATTCCTGACCAGGAGAAGGCACCCCTGGGGATAGATGGCTGTCAACTTGAAGAAGTGGACAGTTTTAAATACCTCGGGGCGCGGCTGCTGCCTAATTGACAGAGTAAGGACGACATTGTCTCCCGAATCGATGCTGCCCGCTGGGTTTTTTCAAGCCTTCGGAAATGCCTGTGGAACCGACGTGACCTCTCCATCGCCACTATGATTCGCGTGTACCGTGCATCTGTCCGGTCTGTCCTTCTCTACGGTTGTGAATGCTGGGCTTTGCGTGTGGCGGATGAGCGAAAACTGGAGGTATTTGACCACAACTGCTTGAGGATCATCTTTCGAGTGAAGTTAACCGACTTCGTCTCAAATGAGATAGTCCGCGCTCGCTGCGACAACATCGCGAGGATAACTCAGGCCATCCAAGAAAGACGACTGAGGTGGTTCGGGCATGTTCTTCGTCGTCCACCTCAGGAGCTCAGTGTTACTGCCCTCGATCCGGCACCATTGCCCCATTGGAGGCGTCGAAGTAGAGCTCAGTTCAAAACCTGGCTCGACACTGTCCGTCAAGACATGGAGGTGGTTCTTGGACCTTCGGTATTCGGTCTCCGTCGTTGGCGAATGGAATGGGTTGAACTGTCTAGATCTGCGGCCGCGGATCGTCACGCGTGGAGAGGTACAATTCGGGACATCATCGAGGCCGGCTAGATCAGGCATGATCGCAGCCGTATCAAGTACAAGTACAAGTATAGCTGCGCATGTCCGCGCGCATATTTCCCGGAAGCGTGGAGGTAATAAGAATGGATTCGATGTAACCTAAGGTGTTTGTAGGCATAGCATCCTCAGTGTGTCTGCGGTTATTTTTCGGTCTCTCCAACGTAGATCGCCCCACAGGAGCTGCACTGGACACGGTGGACGACATTCGCCGTTTCGTCTTGTGATAGAGGCACCGTGGATCTCATGAGTGGACATCTTATTGTCACCCCAAGCCTGTGGACGACGCCGATCCCCAGTATTTGTAAGAGACGTGCGACTGCTTCAGATACGTTCTCGAAATACGGCCGTGCCCGCCGCAATTTGGTAACTGTTTCCTTGGTCTTATAGATTGTTTCGGCTATCTGCTGCGGTCTATGAAGCTGCGAGGGTAACCGTTGAAGGTAAACATCTGCCGAAGGTAATGGAGTTTGGCTGCTATGTCGTCTGCCTCGCTGCAATGAGTTTCAGACGTCTTGTAAAGAGTTCGCACCCAATTACGCTTTTGGCACAATGGGTGCTTACTGTGACAACTACGGCTTTGAAGTGGCCTCTCGATGTACTGGCGTCTTTAGGCTCCCATCGGTCTTATAGTGGATCAGGACGTCTAGGAATGCTATTTGCTTGTCGACCTTCGCCCCTATTGTGACCTGAATGTCCGGAAAAACGAAGTTCAGGATCACGTGAAATTCGGAGACCATTTTCCACTTGAGGGTGACGAAGATATCGTTCATATACCGCAACCAAAATATCGGTATCTGGGTCGCGAATACCAGTGTCTCTAACTTTTAGAGGACCGCCTCATCAATAAAACCAGAGAGTGACGAACAAATCGGGGCCCCTCGGATTTGCTGTTGGACCGTTCTCTCAGGGATGAAATAGGTTTTGAGACAGAAATCGAACAGCTGGATTAGGTGACCTTGTTCAGCCATACCTTGTTCCTCGCCATATTGACTCTCAAAGAGATCGCCGACAGCTTCAACTGCAAAGCTCTGAGGAATTGGGGTGAAATCGGGGTTACATCATTTGATACCATGACGTCATCTGTGCTAAGGTGAAGACCCTGGAGTCTTTCCAAAATGTACGGTTGAGCGGAGCGTTGCATATGAGCCTCATGTGAGACAGTTCAAAAGTCGGAACAGCCATTTGGACGGTTGAATTTTGGTACTCCGCGCTAAGGTACGATACGTCGAAGTGGAGCACCGTAGCTGTGCACTTTAGGTAATCCATGGAAACTCATCATGGCCAAATCTGTTGGTTTAACGTTCAGTTGTTCCGCTTCTATGAGGCGCCGTACAAAACTTACCTCCAACGATAAAAACTTTTTACCTTTAAAACTTCAGGATATTAAAGTTATGTTTCTCACGATTGCCTGCTGGCTTCTCAAAGCAAGCAAGCTCCGTATGGGTGGCAAAGGGTACGGACGGGCAGTCGGGCTAAGTCCCGTCTGCGAACAATCTGCGCCGTGTAGGTGCGCATGTTCGTGTTTCTAGTATCAGCTGCTGACCAGGTTATAATTGGTTGAATGAGGGCAGAAGAAGCCCGAAACAGTAATGTATCAAGCTACCCGCACTCTCTGTCGTCCGTTCCCTCCGCTAGTATAACTTGGTCGACTTCACTCTGGTACTTGTCTGCTTGTTTGTGACCCCTGCCACCCATACGCAGCTTGCTTGCTTTGGGAAACCAATAGCGCTGCGTGTGCTTATTCCTGCTCACAGGTCCGCTTTACGTAAATGGGCTCCGCTGCGATTACCATTCTGGCCCGCGTGTTATTGTTCGTTGAACCTTTCATTATCATTTGCTCGTTTTCATTGGGACGGTCTCTGTGGTTGATAACGTTGAGCCCCATGGCAAACAGTATGTGCCTGAAAGCAAGCCGCAGATGGACGAACGTCATTCCCAGCTGAGCTGGGGGCTAAAGCCTTCGATGTATTTTTACAGGAGGAAGCCGAAGTTGAGGAGGAGCACCAGGAGGAGGAACACAAGGAACAACCCCAAGAGGGCGAGGCTGAGGAAGGAAGGGCACCGGACGAAGAAGCCGAACGAAACACAGACGCTGAACCGGAGGAGGGCGAGGGGGAGGAGGCAAGTCTTGTTCAGCCAGCCCATTGTTTTTTATTCTTTTCTCATCATACTGTTTCCATTCGTTGCATTTTTTCAGTATTCGCCAGCCTTTGAAAACTCATTGTAGATTCTTTTTTCAGATTAGATATCGCATCTTTGGGGGGGGGGGTGGTTGTTCGACCTCCTTCGTCACCTTTGGACATTTATGGAACTATAGATTTTTCTTGGTCTCTACCGCCGTGCCGGATGACCTAGTATATCCTGAAAATAATATTCACTTAATAAATATTAATCTCGGAGCCAGCTTTGGACACTAGTGGTGAAAGACCGTGCTGGGACCGGGACGGCGAAACTCTGCTTTGTCTCTCCCCGGCGTAACGACGTCAACCTGTAGTTTGTGATCTGCACGTTTATTTTTACAAGACTTTCGTTGCGGGCCGTTCTTCTGGTTAGAAACGTCATCTTTAAAAAAACCGTCTTATTTGGGTTCAAGCAGACAGTCCCGCTCTCCGTCTCTGAATTACTTCACTGCAGATGTAGGGTGAAAAACTACCCCTGGAGTAAGTTGCTATGGCCTTGTCATTGCTTTCCTTCACTACAGTAGCAATGGAAATGAACCTAGTTGAACGAGGAATAGAAAGGTCTAAATTCTTCCAAGTCAGCAGCAAGAGAAGTTCGTTGATTGCACACTCTAGTGAGGCTTTATTATAACCCACCCGTTCTTCGGCTCTGAAGAGTCGCCTTATGAAACAGTTCTGGTATAGTTTAAAATCACGCTCTGCGTTTTATAACACATGACATAATACAGAGCTCTGTTTTCGGAAACAAAAAACACCGCGGCACATTTGGAAATATAGTTTGCATTACTTATTGGGACTGTTGCGTTCTCTTTGGAAGCTGAGTGGCAGTCCTGGACTGTTGGTTTACAATCTATGCTACTAAAACTCAGACAGTGACAATTTTTGACTTTTAAACCTCTTAGATTAGTAACCGTTTATGAATTTGCCTGATAGAAAACGTTATTGAAAACTATACAGCAAGACCCCTATCTACACAAACCTTAATAGCGGTTCAGCTTAGTTCGGGGTTCACACGTTTAGCTGACACTAGAAGCATGCATCCCAGCTTAGTCTACTTGTTACGTATGGAAGGCGACAGTCTCATAAACGGCTCTTTCTGATCAATGATTGCCTGGCTTTTATTAATTCCTCGACGAGCTTGCATTTTACCGAGTTTCAGCAGTTTCTCTCACTGATTTTATACATTCATCAATGTGGTCGCTTGCGAGGGGTTTAGATAAGATCTTCTAGACTAAACGGAACACCTACAGGTCAGTTTTTAAGCCATTCTTACATGAATTTGAGTATCCAGGTTGAAAACAATGAGACTTAACCCCTGGTTCAACTAGTAGGATATTATATCCAGTAGCAAGCTGGACTTTATTTGAAATCACCCGTGCTCTCAGCGCGAAGCTGGGAATTGGCTGTCTGACGACGGAAAATATAACTAAATCAGAAGAAGAAGAAGAAGAAGAAAAAAAAGATGCGATCATTGGCACAAGAAGTTTATTGACCTGACGCTTCGGATTCTCACTCGAACCTGTCATCAGAGACGGTTGCAGACATTTATCTGCAACCTTTCTTTGGTGATGGATTCGAGTGAGAATCCGAAACGTCAGTCAATAAACTCCTTGTTCCAGTGGTCGCATCTTCTTATTCTGAATTACTTCCTGTAACTCATCTGCCCGCTCCTATCAGCAATCTCTTTGTGCGCGATGCGCTCCGATCGGCTTGATAGTGGGAAGCAGTTGCCCTTCGTAAATCGTCTAAATGTAACTAAATTAACCGGTTAGACCATACTTTTGCTGGAACCCTTCGAATCTACTGGTCTTCGGTTTACGTATTTTTTGAACTCTCGGGTCGGTTCGAGACGTTGTCTATGACAAAGTATTTTCCATTGAGACTGAAACGCCCTTTTAACTTTTTCAACTACTCTAGTCTTTGTGTCCAGATCCAGCTTATAAAGATCCCGATAACTCCTCCAATTAAAAATAGCTCACTTTAGAAGGCAGAGCAACCCGGTTTAACTTACATTATGGGTGTATGAAGACGCCTAGCAATGTGTATTGCCCCCATTTTCGGCAACTTCTATGCTTCTATTTTCGTTTGATTTGGCGCCCGTTACTTTGTTCAGTTCACATAATTTTGAATACAATTTGCTTTTTAAGATTTTTACATTCACTGGAGGTGAAGTCCTGATGTCTTATTTTTAGCCATCAAGTCCATACGCGTCTCTCTTACTTTGTCATCTAACACTTTTTTTCGTTCAAAGGATGGGGAATGAATACACGTGAGCACACAGACCAGTCCCTTCCGAATCTAAATCACTCCTCGCGGTGCGCCAACGCTTTGCAGGGACCAGCACCTCCGAGTGAACAGCGTGGTCTCCGAAGTCAGCCAACAACTTCCTTCACATCTCTATTATGTCGTTTAACGGATAACACAGAATAATTAAAACACATTTGCAAGACCTGCGACCCTGCTTACTTGTATTATTTCATCTCGCATTACGAGGGTGGCGTGCTGACTTAATGAATCTTTGGAAAGGTGCTTCTTTGCCAGGGAAGAAGTTTCGCAAGCTCAAACTTCTACTCTACTTAGAGCTCTGTTTTTCAGCTAACCAGAATCGTTCTATTTTATAAAACAGCGAAAATTTTGTTCTGAGGATCAAAGGACTGTCTGATCTCGTGAGCCGGGATTCAGCTACAGTAGTAAATATTAACAAGCGTATGACTAACTTCCTGAATCCAAACCACTTCCTGCGGACTAATGAGCAAAGCCAAAGTCGCAAACGAAGCAGTACTTAATGAGATCACTTTAGACGAACAAACATTCCAGTCCGGCAAATTGAATGTCTTTCCCAGGTACACCAAATCTAATAACGTTTAGGACTTCATCCATTAGGTGCACGCAAAATCATGTGACATCATGGTTGGCTTGGCACAAACCAAAATGATTTTCGAGAGGCAAAACCAGCGCGCTGGAGGGTTCCATTTACCGAATTTGCATTGCCTATAATGAAAGGAACCCTGTAGGTGAACTCTGGGCTCCAGAATTACCTTTTTAACCTGCAAAATCTAGAGCTATCGCCTCTCTCGAAACCACCGATTAGCGCGCGTTAAGCAAGAAACGCGGTTACTGACGAGCTAGCATCCTTCCCTTGATCAGACATGAAGTCCATCTTGAATGAGGTACTCCACGAAGTCTTAGACTGCGGCCGCAATACGCGGGAAAATCAAATGTGTTGCCAAAGAAACGATGACCCGAACCTTCCGCGACTGCGCCAGGCAGCGCCACAAGATCAGCGAAACGCGTTTGTATGGGCTTTTAGCTAACACCTGTGTTGTCAGTACGGTAAATAATTACACAAATGTAAGTGTGTTTAAATCGGCGGGTAGGCGTGAGTGCAGGGAGAGATAAGCCGTTTATTTAGTCAGGGTAGACAGTGGGTGGAGTCATTACTGCAAAATGGCACTCCAGCTATGCAACTGTCGAAAATGTGTGACAAAACTGTAAATTTCTCAGTGGACGTAAAACATTAAAATAATTTCAAAAAACGTTATAAGTACGACTTCGAGCTTGGGATTTCATCTATGGCGTTGTACGGATTTAACTGCCAAAATGAAGAACTACCTGGGAGGGATTCGTGCGCTTATTTTGCCGACAAGTGCTTTGGGCAGCCTTGCTGGGAAGATTAGAGACTCCTCAAATGTCCATGAGTAGATCCGTTCCTTGGATCCAATAATGCGAATGGCTTATTACATTAACTTTCTGGGGCTGCGATAGGCCATTAATATTGTCGTGGATGGAAGCGGATCTTTTAAGGGAAGACCACAAATTTCCTCGCACACGGTCATTGGAAACGATGTTATTAAGTAAACCTGACTGCTTATCTTTTGTTCCCGGTGGTAATATCAACTCTCTGATCTTATGCATCTCGCCAGGGTCAAAAGGTTAGTTAAAGGACTTCCTTTTCCCAATGGAAATATGTCTCTGATGGATATGGATTACGCAAAATTTGTTAATGAATTTTGAATTCAAAAATCCGTCCATCCTGGGTTAACGGCAAATGTTGGGATTTTGATAATAAAAGTAATTAGGAGGCAGTCGATCAATTGCTTGGAGGTTATCCTGGTAGTGTCCCTATTCATCAGTTTTTTGTAATGTCGAAACATCTATTAATATCTATATTGATTTTTGCGTAATAAAGTCCGTGTCTAAATAGCTCATGGCCTTCCGTTATGTCTGGAAAGTACGAGAATCTGCCGATGGGAAGGTATTTTCTGTTCCTATCTGTCGCCTAGCGGCTCTTCCGCCTTCACGAAGCGCCGCCAAGGAACTAACTGCATGAAACCCGATGGCTTTTGCTGATGTATGCAATGATCTATCTCGCAGATCACAGGTAGTGTGGATTCCCATTTTTCACATCAACCTGTATAACATCATTTGTCCCTGACAGGCGAGCTGTCGAGGCTAAACAATTCGTTTCAACACTGTAGTCCTACAAAGAGGGAGTGATATGTCTTGGGAGTTAAATGCTCCGTCAGACAACTCCGTTAAAACTGTGGCAGCAATAACCAATTTTAGGTGACACAGCTTATGTTCTCTCACGAAGACTATCAGAACCTGGCAGTGCATGTGCCCCGACTCTTTGGTAAATTTCAGTTCCCAGTGTGTCTGGACACATTATTTTGGCCAATGGTGGATGCCCAGGATAGCTGAGGACGTACGGTACGGTCTGTGTACAGTAAGGACGCGTCGATGCACTTGGTAATTCAACAGCCGATTCCTGCAAGCAACCAAAGCGTCCGGTTAATTTTCCGTAACAGCGTTTCTGCGGGTTAGAAGTGCATAGGCAAATTTGCAAGTTTATTAAACTCTTGACTCAGTTCAGCAGAAACTGAGGCATAGCAGGTGACCAGGTAGAGCAGTCAGGAAATTCCTGACAAACTTTCTCGTTCAGAAGACGAAGATGCGATCGTTGGAACAAGAAATTTATTGGTCTGACGCTTCGGATTCTCACTCGAATCCATCATCAGGGACATGCTTGTTTCGGCCACCAAGTACGGCCAGGTGTTTAATTTGTAGTCTGTCCAAAATATACAGGTATAAATATTTACATACCGCCTCCTGAGCAAAACATGCATCTGACTAACAAAGCCGTCGTAGGCTTCGCCGACGCACAGGAACAGATTAGGTACCGACTGCATATTTTAGTAGGTGGACGCGCGTCTTGAACAGCATTCAAAATCTCAGCAATGGGCGTTTTCAACTGCGGCACATTACCCTGAAGTTCGACGTTTCGTTCTACTAGGTAGTCTGAGTTTTCCCTAATTGAGTATCATCAAAGATTGAGAACAGTCCTTTTCGGAGACACTCCAGCTCTCCGTGTACCTGGCTGCAGCATTTATCTCCGAGAGTCGTGCATTACTCCGTTGGCAGTCTAAAGTACACATTAATGAAAACTGTTTAGTGATATTCAACAAGTGGCGTAGGTTGATTGGGGCCAAACCGCCAGTGTGTCTTTAAGTTGCTGTTTTGGGCTCTAAAGCTTATTTTTGACAACGATTCTTACTGAATAATGGGTGGCGGCGTTGGCCAGCTGGTCAGTCCTCTTCGGTAGAGGGACGCGCACCGAAACCGACAGGACAAGGGGCCCAGGGCCCAATAGTTAGATGCCTTCGACTTCTAACTAACAGGTTACGAGTATGAGACCTAGGTGTTCCACACTTCGGGGTTGGGTATGACTGGCTGACGACGGCTAATGAGCCAGAATTGGCCACTTCAGTCTCCCTTGTCTTTGTCAGTAACAACATTCTGCCAATCTTCTTTGTTATTGAGGTCGTTGACTGAGTATACCTCTGTCATCGTGTGAGTCGGAGGTCAGCTGTGCTTATAAACACATCAGGACACCATAACCTACTGCAAAAGCGTTAGGTATGGCTTAATCAATGCAATAATGTTACTGTTGCCATAATAGGGGTCAAAGGAAGTAGGCGACAATGAAATTATTAATGACGCTTATGTAAGCGTAATTACCGTGTCCTCTGAGTGCGAAAGCGTCGGGCAGTCCATGACGTCAGTGAAGCAATGTGGCAGCTGCATTTTAGGACTAAATAGAAGCAATTATGTATTAGCTTCTGGGCAGTCTACCGGCCTTTAGGTCCTCCTCCATACCTGTTCGTGCCGCAATGTCTAAGACAGTTTTTTGAACAGCCTCTGCAGTGCAGTTACCAAAGCTACTGGCGGTTGACAAAAGTAAAAAGGTCATTTTGTGCACATTAAGAGAAATCTCCTTATGTCAAATATCCGTACAGTCCTTTTTGGTCCTGCAGCACGATAAACTCCCTGTTAACAAAAGTATATCGTCCCCATTTTGGGTAGACAGCGGATTTTTGATATTGATACATGTGTCGAGTGGATGGCGTTTTTGTCCGGCGAATGTTTACCGAGCAGATATTGATTTTTCTATATACTCGGAAAACGGCGGTGGGAGGACGCACAGCAATTCGCACGACCCGCTTTTCCGCGGAAATACTAACGTTTTATACCAAATCGACCTATCTTGTTTCAATCACCCTTGCTTTTTTCCAACTCCCTTAACGTAGTTTCCACTTGAACGAAAAACGCTCGAAAACACAGTGTACCAACAACACTTCAAAGTCGTATGAGGAGGTTAATGCATATTACATAATAAAATATTCAGATATGTACATTGCTCTTTAAAATATTATAGGTCCATATGCGGGAAATCACTTAGGGAGAAAGACGTGTACCCTGCGGATGGTCCAGGCATCGGATCTACATTCGAGAATAGTGTGGAACACTTATCGTTCGTTCGAGTTGAGTTACTATTCTTTCATAGTCTTTTCCATAGTGTCCAGCGAACGTTTAAGTCGTTTGGTGATGGATAACTCTAGGTCGGCAAGAATCTCCTTGGCTTCAACATTCCAGATCCCGAAGACCCATGCAGATAGAGCAATAATTAACGCACCCCTGATGGCGTCGTATGTTGTAGCTTCCGAAAGGCCGTCTTTCATTTTCCACCCTATGAAGTTTGTGTGGAGACCGATGTCATCCACAAATATGGCATAAATAGTTCTTTTAGTAAAGTGATCTGAAATTTCAGATCACCCTCGAAGCGGCCGTGGATACTTTATGATTCTCAGTTACAGTCGACTGGGAAGTGATTAAAGAGAAAATTTTGCAGGACGTTTTCGCTGGCTAGCAGGTGATTGGTGAAATATTTTCGCGCGAGTTGCGATGGTTTCTACGACTTCTCTTTGGTTTACCTTTTGCGAAGTCATGTTTGGGTGATACTTCCAGTCACTGAGCGACCAGGTGGATGCCACCAGGAAATTCGGCCAAGCAAGAAAAATCAAACGCAAGTGCATTCTTAGGCAACCGGCTGTTATAATAAGACAAGAATTGCCCATATGTTTTTGATGTGGCAAATGGAAATATTGAGAGCATTACGTCGCAGTCCTTTAAAATGGACCACAATTCGGACTTTTTGCAGACCGAAAAGGCCGAAGTGGCAGGAATTTTCAAGGAGAGTGGCTTACAGAACCTTTGTACGCTAAATCCTTGTTCTGCAGAAAGTTGGTTTGATTAATATTCCCCAACACGTACGGTGTATTACTACAACAACCATTCATTTTGCTTGAGGAGTTCAGCCGCCTGATACGAAAATGGCACATCTAGTATTTACCGAGAGCTAATGTTCAGGGTATGCGAATTTTGGAAGCTTAGTTAGAATATAGCTACCAATTTTAAAAATTTCAGGCGGCCCAATCCATCTTTGGATTTTTCATGGCTTTAAGCCTCCAGTGGACCGTCCGGCAACGTCAGACTTTAAGGTATGACAATAAGAATGTGTTTATCATTTGGTCTATTTTCTGGTGAACTGTATGGCAAACTGTAGGCATTAACGATCGTCAGCCGGATATCTCAGTAATGAAACGAAATTTGTTATTGCATTTTCATTAGGACTATCATTTTGTTTTGTTTTTAACATATAGAACTTTTCCATTTGCTTATGTTGATAAATCAAGTTCACGCCTTTTCGTTTATTTTTGGCTTTTATGGTAGAGCACTCCACTAGTTTTCATGCGCATGCTGTTCATGTAGCCAATGCCAAATTTGTGGGGGTCTTTATCTGGGAATAATTAACTGTCAATTTCTGCAGAAAGGTCCCGCAGACCTTCAGGGGACTGGTCTGTAGAGGCCAAGGACGTCAGGGATTGCACCCACCGAGGTAGCGAAGCACCAGAAATAAATGCCGCCTAAGCCTGATCTGAACAGAGTTGTTAACGCGCCACAATACTCATCCATATGAAGAAGAAGAAAGGTTAGGTGGGTACAAAGAGGTAATCGGGGCAGAGGGAAACTGAGAATTGCCATAATGATTTAATATACAAACAGAGTAAGTTACAGCAGAGTTGACATGTCCGGATCGTGAGGCGACACGGACATGCCTGCTTAATAACCGGTGGGGAAATCAACGCTGTGGGCCGTGGGACGTGCTGACATAGAGAAAGAGAGATATAGCCAAAGATGAACGCGTTACGAGTTGTGGGGAGAGAGTCCGTGGTAGAGAGAAGGAAAGTCATCGGCCATTTTCACAGTCACGCTGTAACACCACCACCACGCCAGGCTCGCCCGAAAATTATCGCACTATTCAAACAAATCTGAAGATTTCGCAAGGCGTTATTGCTTTAACACTTTTATGCGAGTTACGATGGTTTCTGCTGTTTTGTTGAGCCGAAGTACCGCAAAATTGTGTTTGGGCGAAACTCCCAGTAGCCGAACGTTCTGAGAGATGCCATAATGAAGTTTTAGTCAAGTAAGAACCCATATTTTGGTCCACTCAGTTTTTTTTAAATGAATTGCTCGTGATCCTTCTGGACATTCCATCGGTCATAGTCGATGTAGTTTTCACTCTAAAGTCATGTTATACCCTGTTCTAAGGGTACTGCAAAGCGTTCCTCTAATGCGTCGGTTTCTTCGAACTGGGGCGGGCGACAAATCTTCGAGGCCACCAACACAGATTTAAGATAAAGTATGCCAAACTTGAAGTGCGAGAAAAACTTTTCCGCCGACTGGTTGAAGGATAGGATGATTAGCCGGACTCCATTGTCTGGGCGGAAAACATCGGGACCGCCAAAAAATTGATAAATTTATGCTCGATTGTCAAATATTTACTTGATATGACTGACCGGCATAATTGTTATGTATATATGGGGACGCTTTTCACCCGTAAATCAACAAATAGGGTTTTCCAAGGCTCTGCATATATCCCTTATATGTGCTGAATCATAAGTAGCGATTTCATGCTGTTGCGGTCCCAGATATAAATCCACCTTTCCAGCCTTCTCTTAATTATTGGTGCTCGGTTTCCACGCAGCTTTAGGCCTTCTAATAAGTGTTTGTTGGACCTTCCAGAGTACTGTCGTACAGGATTCTTGGAGCTCCGGCCTAAAGATCCTAAAATAGATACTGTCTTCCTCACCAAACAGCTCGTACCTCTGCTCATTTATTTGTTTCCCGACAGTGCTTTGCTGCCGTGCAAAATGCCAGAGCCTTTAGACCGTTCGGAGTTCAAAACTGTCGGAGTTCAAAACTGAGCAGACTTCGTCGGGGAGACGTCCAAATTACCGAAGATAATGAATGTGGACCGCACCCTCCCATATTGAGTATTCCGAGCCCTGCTCGTGGCAATACCTGTAGCCAATATACCGAAAACGCTGTTAATAATCCTTCCTTACTTGGATCTAGGCTTTCGTAATGGTGGAATTAGGCGCAAACACAAAGTTCCGACGAACGCACCTACTTTGTTCCTTATATAAGTGGACGATTGCGCAAGAGCTTTGGACTGCGAATTAGCAATTTTTTGCGGACGATATGAAGATATGGCGTGTAATTCAAGACCCTGTCAACAAAGAAAGGCTGCCGATGAAACTAAATAGGCTGAAAGTGTGATCAAACCGTTGCCTCCTGCGGTTCAACGTTGGGAGGGTAGCATACTTCGCCTAGGCAACACAGCCAGATCCGATAGCACAAGAGACTGCTTTCTGGGCGGTGCAGTCTAGCAAGACGTCGATGCCCAAAAGGACCTCGGTGGGCTGACCACAAACTCCCTAAAATTATCCACCCATTGTTCGAGAGTGGCAAAAGGCGCAATGTCTGTACTGTACGCCATCCAGCGTGCGTTTATGGATTTTGACGAAGATGTTTCCTCAAAGACATTCGGAACATGCGTGCGGCCGCACTTCGAATACGACATACAAGCCTGGAAACCGTAGGCAGATCAAGACCAAAATTGCCTCGAAAGTGTCCAGAGAAGAGCCGCGAAGATGGTTAGGGGTCAAAGCAACTTCCCTTAGGCAACCAGCCTAGTAAGTCTGAGCCTCTTCCCTTTGAGTTATCGGCAGTTCCCTCCTTGCAAGCATTCCACATAGTGAAGGGGTTGGATTGCAGCCTGGCCTTTAGGAACTTTCTGAATTCGCTACCACGACCAACCTCCTTGACCACCCGTTATAATTGCGCATTCAGTAGACAAAGTTCAATGTGCGGAAGTCTTTATTCTCTATCCGAGTGGTTAAACCCTGGAATACCCTCCCTGCAGACGTCGTGATGTCACCATTGATGTAAAGTTTTAAAAAGAACCTAGATATATTTATGTGACAGTATGACCAAAAGCGAGGAGAGATCGAGCACATCCCCTGTAACTCGCTCCCATTTTGTCATACCATTATGGGCTGGTGTGAATTTTTTAAATCAAGGTAATTCCTCTGTACACCGTTACCAGTTTTCCGTTGTAAATAGGAAACTCGATGGCTTACGCTTATTCACCTCAATAAATTGAACTGAACTGCACTAAATGAGCTATATTTACCTTCACCATGACAACGGGCAGCGCTATTTTAAACGTCTGGGTCGCACGGCCTCACATGGCACCCCACTGTGGTTCAACTTCAAAACACTTCCGCGAACAAAAAGACCAAAATGGGCTAGCATTCTCATACCTTTCTTTAAGACGGCCGATAGAAGTTGGCCAACCACCAGCAACAGGAGCTTTTTTACAGCGACCGTTGAAAGAACCCACCCTCTTCCGAATGTTTTATGAAAAAGGCAACTTCCCAATCGCCATCGAATTTGATACGAAGGGAAATAAAATTGCCTGGAAAATCGAAATCGAGAAACTCGACTATCACCATTATCTACCGTTATTTTTTGAAGGTTTGGCGGAAACAGAACATCCGTACGCCTTCTTCGCTAGACAGGGTGTTAATGACTTACTAGAGCACGGCGGACAAAAGATTCTACCAGTTATTCCACAGCTCATCATACCTATAAAGAAGGCCTTGAATACCAGGAATCCCGTGGTCGTTTGTGCTGTCCTTAAGGCGCTGCAACATCTCGTTATTTCTGCAGAGCTTGTCGGCGAGGCCCTCGTCCCATATTACCGGCAACTATTACCAATTCTCAACCTCTTCAAAAATAAGAACACGAATGTTGGAGATGCTATTGATTACGGGCAGCAGAGGCGTGAAAATTTGGGAGACCTAATCAACGAGACTCTGCAGCTTTTTGAAAAACATGGTGGTGAGGATGCTTTTATCAACATCAAATATATGGTACCAACCTACGAATCGTGCATGCTTCAATAGAGTTTAAATTCTTATCCGCACTGGGGACATCATGAAAAAAATTCCTGTTTTGGCGGACCTAGTATTCCTTTAAATGATTAGATAATTTTTGGCTACATTTTTGAAATAATGGCAAGTAATAAAATTGTGCTGCTTTCTTGGAACCGCTCTGTTCTTCTACAAACATGGGCGCAAAAATACTCGTATTTTAAACTGCAAGATAACCTGTTAATGCCTAAGTCGAGAAATCCGAGGTCTGCAGAGAAAACAGGGTTACTTGGCTTAGGAATCAAATTCCTCCATTTACAGACAGCAAAGGAAAAAAGCCTTGTTGATTAATGATAAACTCGGGTGGACGGAGTATAAGTAAAACCGTTGTTTGAAAATACAAAAACGATATTGAGCGTAGAGCAGGTGGTAATTACAAGTCAATAATGACAGAAACTTTATTGTATGAGACGATCATATAAACATAATGGCAGGCTTCTGAGTCACCAACAGTACAAATTATGATATAACGGGCATTGTCACTAGACCCAGAGAGTTGCTTTTCGATACTTTGGCGACCGCGTGATTGTAACAGCTCCTGATTGCAAAAGGGAACCAGACATTCTCGGAAAGAGGTGACAGTTTCCCATACGCAAGGAGTTCATCAATCGGGGGAAAAATCTGGGAGAGTCGCGTTCCTGTACAAGAAGAGTAAGGCTTAAGGAATACACTTTGAAGAAATGTTAAGGAACTGCAACCCCGCAATTTAAATAAAAAAATTTCATTTTTAAACGCACACAAAATGGGATAACAAGCAGATGTATTGGACGTGAAAAAAACTAGAACACGCAGTAGTTCACCCGTCATAATCTACGATGTGTATGCTCATCAACTTCATGTGTGGCATCAGTGGAGTGGGTGAGCTGTGGTAGGTACTAAAGCGCATTGGAACGTGTCCGATGACTCAACTTCCAGAGTCGTGTGGGTGCTAACAGTGGCGAGGAGGGTTAGTATGTCGCGTCTAGACTGACAGGACCAATACAGACGTCAAGCAGATGGAAGAGGTCAAGGAGTGGAGCTGTGACAAACGGTGAGACGATGCGAGTAGAGTACTTTAACTGTGGTTTCCAAGTATGATTCGGATGTCCATTCGCTTGACCCCCATGTTGGAGCCGCAGACGCCCAATGACACAAGCTTATGAAGTTGCGACACTGACTCGTGATGGCTAGAGTGGTAATATTCAGATGGCATAAATTCAATCAAAGGCGTATAATCGGGACAATCGGAGCACAGACCGTGCATTAAATTAAACGGGGTTCCAAAACATTAAACGCATTCCACGGTGTAATGACATTTGATGATCTCGAGTGGTGCTACTACGGAGGCAAAGGAGAAGAACTGGGTGTCCTCAGGTTTGCCCATTGATATTCCAATGCCATGCTTTCGCCGACTTTCCTTGGGGTCCACCATTCGACTGAAACAGTTCCACTCTTTGCCACCGTTCGCCATGCTAACCGATGTTATACAACTTGGTCAGAGGCTCTTTAGCAAGACCGTGGAAAGCGTGATGAAACCTTCGTGGTGGCAACGTAAGCGATGAGCCGGCTTATGGCTAAGTAGCCCAACGCCGAGCTAACTACCTTCTATCTTCCCCATAACTATTCGTTGGCTGACAATGCCGGGATAAGAAGTAGAAGCGATCGCTGGAACAAGGGCTTTATTCGCCTGACGTTTCGGATTCTCACTTGAACCCATCATCGGAGACAGTGGCAGAAAAGGGTGACTCGTGCATAGGTTGCAGTCGCTATGCTACCGCATACCTATGGTAATTAACCGCGCTGCCCTTCGTTAAGAATTGTTGTCTGCTGGTGCGACAACTGCTTGATGGCCGGCATGCAAGTTGTAAATTGCTGAAATCTTATCACCCGTGTTGGATTTTGGCGTGATAATTGTTGGGCCATCTGGCTCACCGACTTGCGCGCTCCCCGAGTGGTCAGTTGCTTTGGCCAGCCTATGCCTTAGCAAGGAATATGGAGTGGGAATGTCGTTGCACTTGTTGACAGACTGAGGTCCCGTGAACCATGACTCAAGCAACTCGCGGCTCACGCGATTATCCCCTCTCGCGAGAATTTCGGTCGGTAGGATTTTGTCGCTCGTCTCGTTTACGCAGGCGCCGGTTGACGAAGTTGCGCGGGTAACCACTTTCTCCGAAAACCCGTCGAAGATATTGGTTTTCGGCAACCTTGTCTTCCGGAGTTCGTCTCAACACGCCGATATAGCGTTCTTACGCAACTGCCTTTGTGGCTGATTGGGTGTTTGCTGTTTAAGTTCAGTATCTGCGTCGTGTTCGTCGCTTTCATGAACACTTTGGTCTTTAGCCCACCACAATCTTGCCGACAGACGAGGACATCAAGGAATGCCAGCTGGTTGTTTTCTTCCTCCTCCGGGTGACTCGTGTATGGGAAGTTGCAGTATTTATAGGATGCAGTCGCTAGGCTACCACAGGCATGCAGTAGCAGGTGCTAACGTTCAAAGAACGTCTCAACAGCGTCTTCGCGGACATACAATTTACGATGTTGACGGAAATGGTAGTGGTGCCAATGATGCTGATAACTGTCAATGACGGTGGTAAAGTTCGAGACAACCTTTGCGGAGAGATAACATGCGAATAAAGTTGTGTCCGCGCCCATCTCCGGTCCTCTTGACATTGGCTTAACAGCACAAAAAGGAGGGTGAGGGAGAGGAGTGCGGTAGATGCCGTGCAACAAACTAATTCACACACTGGGCCCACTCTGCGAGCCACGGGGTGGACGCTGTAGCTTGTGACAATCGAACTGCCGACAACATGCATGAAATCAGGACACGTCAACTGCTGTCAATTCGTGTTTCAAGCCAGCAAGACAGATCAGTTTTTCGAAAAGTACGCAAGCACTTTATTCGAAGCAAGGTTAAAGTATAATAAAAGTCGTTTCCATCTACAAAAAAACGTGCAGGAACATATGGACGACAGTACTCACCACTGAGAAGGCAGTGATTAAGGAGGCTGTAGAAGAAGGTGCCCTCGGACATGGTAAGTGCGTCCTCGTCACTTTCGGCTTGCTTCCAGCTAGAAATAGAAGCAAACAACTGCTCGAGAACGGCAAAACACCGATGATTTACTCCCCATCATATTCTTAGCTCACATATAGATATGCAAGAGGCAAAGTTCGGTTAACAGTCATCAAGCGACCGGGCGGAGGGAGGTGAGCTTTGAAGTCGGACATCACTACGGTCCTTCATTGGCCTCCGTGAAAAGAGCGTTGCTACGAATTTGTCACAGTATCGCATCTGATTTTCGTAGCCTTCCGCGCATACAGAGCCTCGTACCTAACGCCCAATGAATAAGTGGACGGATGTGGAACCTTCCAAGCCTTCCAAGTGTGGAAAGTTTATGTCGTCTTCACACCGGTGCCCAACAGCAGGACAGTCACAGTTCGATCTTGATGGCACTCGTTAGAGTGGCAAAGCAAACTCGAAGACAGTAACAGTCTATACGTCAATGGGACAGACAACGCGGAAGAGGTTTATCGAACAGCAATGCAAACCTGCAAGACACGTGGAAGGGTGTGATGCCCAACACAGGCCAGAAGTGGAAGTTGGCCTCTGACCGGCGTCGCTGAAACTCGAGGTTCCACTCATTTGAGCCACTAGGATGCCTTTTCAAAGTATACGCGTTCAAGTAGTCATATGAAATTTTTTTGTATACTCTGTAGCACTTATGCTCTCATGGTAAAAAAAACGGCGAGAGAGTATGTTGCTCCAGCTTCAAGAGCCCACATACAAATCCTACCTTGCGTTAATTTACAGAAGCTTCCAAGTAAACTGTAGGAAATCCCCAACTCTCTCCTCAACACACGTCTTACCTGTCCATTTTTATGGCCTGAGACCAGATATACAACAAGAGGTCTGTATGTTCGCTCTCAAGGACGGCCTGGCTCTCGGCGGTGGGTATCAGGAGGAGCAGTTCGCTGAGGCGTAAAGCCCGACAGAACTCCAGCAGTCCCGGTCTGCCAGTGAACTCGGCAGGCGCCTCCGGGGAAAGGGGACGGGCGCCGCTGACGTAGAGACGCGCCACATGAGACAGCGACATCACCCGTCCGCAGCTCATGTCGCCCTCACCGGTCGGCGGCACCAGACTCTTTGTGAGGTCCGCCTAGTGTTGTAGGGTAATGGAAGCGTAAATAAGGGCGTTAGTTAGGTCAGGAAGACTAGTACAGTAGAGAAAAATAATGCAATGGTAGGGGGCGCTCACTGATCGTTCTTACGGAACACACTCGTTCCCTCTCTCGAGCCCAACCAGCAGCCGCACAGCAGCGCATGATATGGGCAGAATGACATTACCGTCAAAGACAAGGGAGATTGGAATGGCCATTTCTGGCTTGTTAGCCGTCGTCAGCCAGTCATACCCAACCCCGAAGTGTGGCACACCCGAGCCTCGAACCCGCGACCTGTTAGTTAGAAGTCCAGGCCTCTAACCGCTGGGTCACGAGCCCGTTGCCCTGTCGGTTTCGATCGGAAATATACAATGGTAGGGGGCGCTCACCGATCGTTCTTACGGAACACACTCGTACCGTTGTGCCTTACGGGCTCTCACTCGAGCCCAACCAGCAGCGGCACAGCGGCGCATGATATAGGCAGTATTTTATTACCGACAAAGACAAGAGAGACTGGAATGGCCACTTCTGGCTTATTAGCCGTCGTCAGCCAGTCATGCCCAGTCTCGCAGCGTTTCAGCGAGAAAAAGCGTACAACGTATTTCGCCGGCTGTAGCCACACACACACACACACACTGGCTTTGAAATTTAACCCCGGTGGTAGCGAAAAGGCGCTCGCGAGTTCCCAGGAGGCAAATGCACTGGCACAACAAACACTAAGAGGACTACAATAGTCAGCTTTGGCATATTTGCCCCTGCAAGGTCGGGGACTCTGGACCGGTGTTCCTGCGGTCATGCCCAGTCGGTACACATCACTTTACCACTCGGTTAGAAGTCTG